AATTCGAACACTGTGCTGTAGCAGTTTCTGGATCGTTCCGATAAAGGTCATAATGTTTTCCGCAGCTTCGTCTTTTGATCGGAGAAATTTTGTCCATGTATACCTAGAGAAGTCATCAACGATCACCAGAGTGTATTTGCGACCGTTGATGCTTTGTACTCTCATAGGTCCACACAGATCCATGTGTATTAGCTGCAACTGATGAGTAGATGAAGGTTCGGTTTTTGACTTGTGGGAGCTTCGCGTCATTTTGCCCATTTTGCAGGCACTACAATGATTTTCAGCGGAAGACTTTAGCAGAGGAAGCCCCTTGACAAGTTTCTTGGAGGACAAGGTTGATAGATGTTTGAAGTTCAGATGGGAGAGACGTCTGTGCCATAGGTTGTTCTGTTCAGTTGAAGCTTTGGACAGCAGACAGATGGAAGTGGTGGATTGGACGCTTTTCAGATCAATAGTGTACAGATTTGATGTTCTGTAACACGTTAATAATGTATTTCCTGTGCTGTCAAGAACACAGCATTGTTTTGCAAAGAACCTCACTTCCATCCCGCTGTCACAGAATTGTCCAATGCTCAGTAAGTTGTGTTTGAGCCCTTTGACGAATGAAACATCTTTTATTGTGACGCTGGCATAGATGACGTCCCCATACCCAAGGATAGGAGATGAGGCGTCATTCCCGAATCTGACATTTCCTCCGTAGCAGTTGGTGTAGTTGCTCAAAAGGTGCTTTATTCCGGTCATGTGGGTTGAGCATCCTGAGTCTAAATGCCACACATGACCGTCCTGCAAAACAATCAAATAGGTTTAGGTACCCAACTTGGAGTGGGTCCTTCCTTATTATCAAGAAACACCTTTTTAAATCTTGCTTTGAGCAGTGATCCAAGGTCAGCTGCTCTTTCAACAAAAGATCTATCTTTGATGGGCTTTCCAATAGCCAGATCTGCTTTTGCAGTGTGTCTGGTTTTTGGAGTCCACCTAGCAATTTCCATTTTGGTGGGTCTCATGTTGTGAACCCACCTTTCCATTTTAGTCCTTGTGGGTCTAAGTTTGGGGACCCACCTTTCAGTTGCAGTTATGATGGGTCTTCGATTGGGAACCCACCTTTCAGTTTCAGTTTGGATGGGTCTTCGTTTGGGGACCCACCTATCCGTTTTAGTTTTGGTAGGTCTCATCTTGGGGACCCACCTATCTGTTCCAGTTTTGGTAGGTCTTATCTTGGGGACCCACCTCTCAGTTTCAGTTTTGACGGGTCTTATCTTGGGGACCCATCTTTTCATTTTAGGTTCAGGAGGAGAGTAGACAGGTGCTTTGTGATTGAACGGTTGTTTCTTAAGTTTGGTTTTGAAAATCTCCTCCTTAGAAAGCCGATTAAGATGTTTCCTAGAATGAACTCTAAGGGCATATTTCATATCAGGAATACAAAACGTTCCCTTAGAAGTTCCTTTCTTGGTTTCTTTTTCAGGTTTAAGCTTTCTGGAAGGCTTAGATTTAACAACATTCATATCACATTCATAATTATGGGGATCTGGAACAGAATAACCATAAGCAACACTTGTATTATAAATAGAACTTTGTCTAGAAGATGTCTCAGAAATATTCAGCTTGGGACTCAAGACTGAACTACTAGAAGTTTGCTTTGTAGAGACAGAATTACAATTAACTTTTGAGTAAAAAAATTGAACTAGATCTAGGGCTGGCATTGTTCTCGAAAACTTTCTTTTTGCCATCTGCGATTTCCTTCCTCTTTTTCCTCCACTCATTCTTCTCTTCTCCTTCCTTATTTACTTCATTCCCTGTAAACAAAGGAGAAGAGAGATGAGTGGACGAACCTTTAAAAGCATTGTTTTTCTCATGTGAGGTGTGTGAGCTGTCAGGCTTGGTCGTAGAAGGGTCTGTTTTAGCATGAAACTGCTCACTCAAATCATTAAATTTTTGAAGAAGTTCCTGCCAGTTGCGCTCAAAACCTTTCTTTTCAGTTTCAAATCTCTCTCTCTCTCGTCATCAAGAGTTTTTTGTAGGTTTTTGAGCTTTTGAGCCATGGGAAAAATACATGGTTCCTCACCAGTTTTAGCAATACCAACTCTTGGGGGAGGGTCTAGAGGGTGTCCTATGTGAGGAATATCTTTAGCATAAGGGTCTAGGCATTCACTAAAGCAGGAAGTAGGTTTTTCTTCTGAAAGTTGTTTTTCATTTACAGAGGGATAATCACAAGAAATCGCAGGTTTTGGTTTCTTTCTCTTTTCTTCTTCTGCTTCAGCATAATCTTCATCACTTCAAAAATACATTTTCTCGCCAAACCCTAGTCCCATGTAATCTTTGTTATAGAATTGAAGGCAATTAACTTTCTTAAGATTACGTGGGTTGGTTATGCCCAGTCCTGTTTTAGCATTGTAGAATCGGTCATCCTTTTGTTTGTTGTTAAGCAGAAAAACAGTTTGTTCAGATTGACCTCTTCTAGCAGCTAGATCTTCTAGTTCTTTTACTTTATTTAAAAGCGTTCTTCTTTTGTTATGCAAAAAATCGCATTCAGCCTTTGCTGTGCTTTTTTCCCGTTCACTGTCCTCAAATTTCTTAGTTAATTCAGCTATCTTAAGTTCAAAGCTTTCAAAATCTGAGGACACCTTTTTGACTTGATCTTTTGCAATTTCAAGTTGAATACTTAAGGAAGACTTTTGGTTTAGATTCTGTTTCAGAACTCTATGATTATTGTCTAGTCTCTCCTTTAGTTCTTTGATTAGATTGTCTTTTTCAAGTAAGGACTGCATTTGATTATTTAAAGAAGTATGGGAGGTACTTACAGAGTTTGTTGTGCACTTGCCTTCGGGGATCACAGCATCACCCTTTCTTTCATCTCCTTCCACACGTGCCATAAGGGCATAATTATCTTCCTCCTCCTCCTCCTCAGAAGAATCTTCTGCCCAGTTCTCATTCTCAGCAATCATGGCAGAGGTTTCTTCTTCTTTCTGCACCATCAGCATTTTCTGCTTATTCCACAACATCTTCTGCTTGTAGAAGTTAGCATCTTTCTTCTTTGGGAGGCGGCAATCTTTGATCACATGTCCAGGCTTGCCGCAATTATAGCATTTAGGAGCTTCTTTTGCTGATGATGCCTTCCTAGAAGATCCTTGATCATGGTTCTTCTGCTTGTAGTTTGAGGAGGAAGTTCTTAGCCTGTTGGAAGAGGTGTTTTTCTTAGCAAATCTTTTGGCCAGCAGTGCCATCTTCTGCTGTAAGTCAGCTAGCTCAGCCTCTAGATCAGATTTGTCATCATCACTCTCATCATCATCTGATTCAACCACCACCTTCTTCTTTTTCTTCTTTAGTGAAGTGGTTGTTCTTCTTGGCTAAGCCTCCATTACTAGAGCTAAGGGGTTTGTGGTGTGATGATCCTCAGCACAGGCAACCTCGTTGACAAATTGTTTCAGATGTTCATAGAGTGTGCAGAGGTCAATTTCGTCCAAATCTATCCGAGATCTGACATCCTTCACTGTCTTTTCCCATGCAGGATGCAGGCTGGATAAAAATCTAATATTCAGTTCCAGATTGGACCTGAATACTTTGATCTTTCTGAGTTCATTTACCAGTTGAACAAGTCTGTTGTAAGTCTCATTCAATGGTTCTCCTGGACCTGCTTTGAAGGAGTCATAAGCGATGAGAATCGTAGTCTTCTTTGTTTTGAGGCTGATGCTTGTGCCTTGTAGCAGCTTCTCTATTTCATCCCACATTTCCTTAGCTGTCTGCATGCTATCTATAAGAACATAAACCTCATTTGGTATTGCTTGAAAGAGGTACGTTTTGGCCATAAGGTCACCACGAAGTCTGAGCTTGTCAACTTCTGTGTATTCAGACGGCACTTTTCTCCTTATTTCTGGAAAAATAGGAGGATTGTTCTCTGGATCTCCACCAACTGAAATCAAGAGTTCAGCTGGTCCTTCAAGCAAAGATTCGAGCATTGTAGAAGAGTTCTCTTTGTGCTCGAGGAAGTTTAGAAATCTGTTCCTCCACATTTGATATTCTCCCTTCCTGAGGCTAGGAGGGGTACTGCTGTTCCCTTGTGCATTGTATTCTGAACCAATTGCTGTACTAAACTGACCGTTCGAGAAAATTGATCAAAAGATTTTCAGAGGCAGAATCTCGAAAAATCAGATGTCGAGATCTGAATATCGAAATCTCAGATTTCGATAAAGGAGGCCCGGTATCGAGATTTGGGCTCGAGATTAAGGATCTCGAGATTAGGGATCTCGAGATTTCAAATTTCGAGATGTTGATCTCGAGATTTGAAATGTCGAGAAGTTAATCTCTCGAAATCTTAATCTGATAAGTCAAATGTCGAGACCAGATGTCGAATCCTTTTCTCGAAATCAAGATTTCGAAATCCTAGATGTCGAAATCCTCAATGTCGAAATCCTGCAACCTGTAAAAATCAGATAAACAAAATCTGAAGATAGTTTCCTGTAGAGTTGAATGTCGAGATCTTCTGGTAAAGTTTTCAGCTCGAAAAACGTAGCAGAACCTGTGAAGAAGTAGGATGTCGAGATGCCTAGCTCGAGATATCTCGAAATCTAAAATTGCGTAAAACACAAACAGAAGTATACCCTTTGATCGCTTTGAAAAGGCGATTCCAAAGGTGTAACTTTTACAACTTTTGAACAAGAAACAAAATTACAGAGCAAAAAATCGACAGAATGAACTTCGTTAACAAAACCAGAGTATTCTGCAGGAGTTCTTCTGATCGTTCTCGATCGGCTCTGATACCAATTGTTAGTCCATGTTTCTGTAACAGCAATGAATAATCGATCTAACAAGGAAGATTAAACGTAAAGATGAACACAGAATGAATCACCGTAAAACCTTCTTTGATAAACCGTGGAACGTACAGCAGAATGATAAGCGTAAGGCTATGAATAATAAGTACGACGTTCTGCCTTTTCCTAAACCTCGGCTCCCTTTTTATAGGCGAGGTTTAGGTTAGGCGTACCAGGCTTTTAGCCTGTTAAATGGGCCTAACACTTGGCCTGATTTCTATCTAATTTATGCACTATTTAAATACAAGGATTAAATATAAAGCTAATCTATGACCAACTTGATTCACAATTAAATATCTCCAACAGTTTCTCATTGGCTCTTCTTCCATTTCTTCATACACATTGTGGAAATCGAGAACTTTCGGTAACATTTTGTTAATGCAATCTTTGTATGGTAGAATGTCCCGTAGTGATTCCCCTCTTCTCTTGTTTAAGTTGTAGACTTTGATCTTTCTTGCCTTCACATAAAACACCAATAAGAGCCAATGACATCCGGTGTTCAATGGCATGTAAACGAAATCGCAATCTACCCAGTGTAGGGAGAAGTTTGTTGCAACTCCAAGAATGTTTTGGGGACAAACTTTCTTTGTCTGTTACATCGTTGACTGTGGTCTTTCCTTCTAAAATCATATCATGCTCCCTATTCATAATTTGTATAAAAAATGGCCCTGTGCTTGCGTATTTCTGCCTCAACTTGAAGTGCACTCTCTTCATTTCCAGATAGTACATCCCCACTTCTACATGCTGCAAAAACAGAGTTGATATTAGTTGTTATTAATATATTTTGATTAATTATTTTATTTGAATAGCAGACTATACCGTATAAGTTAGCCATTGGTGGTTTAGCCATAGGTCATGCAACCAAGTTTTGGACTGTATCTTCATTATGTCCAAAATTAACGGTTTAGTGGTCAGCCTTTCATCCTCCATCTTGTATCTTCTAGTCTAATTTTTTTCTTTATTTGGAACTTTCAGAAGCCCAATCTGGATGTATTCGTCGAATACGTTGGCTTGCTTTGCATCAATAGTATCAGTTGGGTCTTCTGAGAAGGGTCCATAGATGACTTTACGTGGTGGTAAGAATTCTTCTTCTAGTTGTCTTTTGGCCTTTTCCTTCCTTCTTCTTTTTGCTTCAGCAGTCTGCCCTGCTGGTGTGTACCTGACAGGAGATTTGGCAGTCCTCTTTGCTCTTCAAGTTTGTGTAGATGTTTTCTTTTATGTTTCATCAAAAACAAACATTGATCGGTCAAAGTAAAAATGCCAAAGTAAAAATGACATTAATATACTATTTAAAAATTTTGACCGAAATTATTGTCATCACTTGCTCTTTGCTTGCAGTTGCTCTTTTCTATTCCTTTTTTTCCTTCACATCTTCCATGTTTTCTTTTCCAAACACCTGTCTTTCAGTCATCTCTGCATTTATACACAATTCTGTAATGAATTGTATATTTTTTTGACTCCATATTTCATCAACTTCTTCCTCATCTCTGTCCTTTTCTCTTTTCTTATTTTCTTCTCCTCCACTGTTATTTTTGGTCTGCATAAATTTAATAAAATTCTTTGCTATGTTATTTTAGTGCATATATGATGTTATATTGTGTGACAGGATGCAACTATTGTCATATTTTTCGCAATTATGGTGTTGTATTACCTTTTTATTGTCATCCATGCTTATCTGCTCATCATTCTTCTTCTTGTCCTATAAAAAATAAACATGTCATAAACGAAAAGTAATGAACAAAATAAACTTGAACTTAATTATTTTTTTATTACCAAAGCAGTTTTTTGCTGTAAGACCCCTGCATCCTCACTGCTTCCAGTTTCTTCTGTTTGTGCATCCATATTTGATATGTGGAAACCGGGTCCACTGCAAGGTGTGGGGATGACTATATGCTTTGTTGCTTCATCCTGGACATGTAGACTTTTTGGTGCTTCTTCACTTCTTGCTTGTGCATCAACTCCATTGTTGTTGATGCTTTCATTTTCTTTTTCACTTCTATCCTTGTTGCCATCTTCTTCAGCTTTAGATGTCTTTCCTTCTGAGTTATTCATCTTCTTGACATTCTTTGAAACATCCTTCACCAAACGAATAAGCTTTGTTAGCATCACATCTTGTCTGTTTTGCTTATTCTTCAAATCCCTTAGCTCTGCCAGCATCTTGAAATTTTGTTTTGCTTGGTGGTCAAATCTCTTCAGCATCATTTTCTTCACTCCCTTACTGGAAATCTCAACTTCACTTTCATCACCACTCTCATCACTACTCTCATATTCATCATTTCCTTTGACGCTTTTCTTTTACTTTCTCTAGAGCTGCACTCTGGTTTGTCTTTCTGTGTTTTCCCCTTTTTGCTGGCAAACTTCACCTTTTTGGTGGTTGCTGCAACTTCTTTTTTGCACAATTTGGCTTTTCCCTTTGCTGCCACTTGTTCGTTCTTACGCTTTTCTTTTCTATCTGCTTTAATCACCTCCAACAGCCCTACTTCTTCATCTAGTAATCTTGCTTCAGGAAGTCCTTGTATTCTTTCCATCTCTTGTGCAGTTGGCACTATGCTCTCCCACTCAAACCGTAAACACAAAGCACAAATATTTCTTCATTACACATTTGTTCATCTAATAAGGACATGCAAATTTAAAAGTAGATATGTTTCAATTACCTCACCATTATCGAATATAAGGTCACAGAAGACTTCCATGGATGGCTTTTTATGGAAAGCCCATTTCAGTGTTCTTGGGATCACAGTTTCTCTGCCTTGAATTATGATGCACAGCCCTGTGTTAGCCAGACTCGGGAATGTTTCAAAAGCCCATATTTGAAGTACATGCATGCATCCTGGGAATGCAACTCTATTTCCATCACACACGTTCAGTGCCTCTGCACTTCTCGTGATGTTTGTAACCAAGTCGTCCCACACATCATCTCCCCAAGGGTATGTGTTGAATGCTTCAATATCATGGACCAACTTTAAGTACTTTTCTGGCAATGGCCTAGACATTTGGTGTCCCAGTAAACCATGTGCTAGGACATAAAGCAGTGCTAGCTTTACACCATCTTCCTTTGCTATGTGTGGGTCAGTATGGTTATAAGCCTCCAGAGCACTGATCATATCTTGTCTTGACACTACTTGTTTATTGCCAAAATACCTTCTACAGAAATCTCCTGCTAACTGATCATCACTTATCGTTCTCACTCCACCAAGCTTCAGCCCCAGCAGCAACGCCATATCTGATCTGGTAAAACTTATTACACCGCTTCCTATGTGAAACCTTATGACTCTTTTTTCAGAATTGTTGTTAAACTGCTCAATATAGCTCCCTAAAAGTGCTATGCACAACTGGCCACTCAACCTCGGCATCTGTTCAATATCAAGAATCCATCCAAAAACTGTTTTTAGAACTCTATTAGCTCCTGTTCACTCAGTTGTGCTTTTATTTTATTTTTGCTACTTCACTTAGATTGTTATTGGTATTTAGCCTCAACTTGTCGAATCTTCTTAGTAGTCCAGTTTCACAAGTGCGAGTGATAGTATGTATTTAAACAAATGTCATTACTACTAAATATTTTCATTCATTCAATACAAAATCAAAATTTCAACCCTAAGATTTGACATTTTTGTCAGAAAACAGTTGGTTTGACACAATACTTGTTCTTCAACACAGAATCTGTCATGACACATGTTGCAACCCTAAGATTTGGCATTTTTTGAGATAAAGCAGTTGGTGTGACAAAATAGTTGTTGTTCAACGCATTGACTCTGTCATGACACATGTTGTAACCCTAACATTTGACATTTTTTTACACAAAGCAGTTGGTGTGACACAATATTTGTTGTTCAACGCATTGACTCTGTCATGACACATGTTGTAACCCTAGCATTTAGCATTTTTTGAAACAAAACAGTTCGAGTGACACAATACTTGTTGTTCAACGCATTGACTCTGTCATGGCACATCTTGCAACCCTAAGATTTTGCAATTTTGTCCTATTTCAGAAGACAATACATTATTATTCATAGTTTCATTCTGACATTACACATTTGGCAACATTAACATTTGGCAAATTTTGCCCTAATCCAAATAGTATAAAACATGAAATGTGTATTACAATGTGAAATAACAATAACTCTGTCAAATTAATTAAATGAGTACAACACATGAAATATAAACATTACATGCACATTTAAAACAGATACGCAATACATAGCACAACATGCACACAACGTTTGTCAATGACGGTTCAAGTATTACAAAATTCATAAATATACATGATTAACATCGCCTTAACACTTTATATTTGTTTGATAGTGCTTACAACATACCACTTCTTCGTTGATTCTGACTTTTTGGCCATGTGATTCAAACCCCGAATCAGACATGATTTCTGTTCTTCTTATCGCCAAGTATGTCCTTCTTCATGCCAAGTTCGTCCTTCTGACCAAGTTCTTCCTTGTAATCCCCTAGTTCATCCATGTTATGGCCAAGTGATTTCAGTTTCTCTTGAGTGTTGTGCGCTGTTTGTTGTGTTCTCCAAGTTCGCGCTTTAATGGAGTTGTTATTTTACGCGAATAAGAGATAAATGGGGTTGTTATTTTACGCGAATGGGAGAAGCTTTCCCGTTTTCGTTTTTTTTAATTTTTCCGTTGCGGGTAGCCGGTTACCTCCACGTCCGCAGCACGCGCGCAACATGATGGCACCAAAACGGAAGTCTTTAGCCTGCCTTCATTAAAGGTATTATGGTCACTTTGGTATAACTTCCGTGTCAAACATTATTGGCCGAGTAGGACTCCTATTTTGGAATAGTTTTTATGTTCTACTCCCATATTGGGAATTTTCTCAACTCTTTAATATCGCAGGATGAATGAAATTTCTAGAATTGGGTCGTTTTATAATGGAAAAGGCTTACCTTGATATTATGCATGGACCGGGCCCGGTCCAGTTCCGGTTCGGGCCTAGGCCCAGCCGGGCTTGGAAGGTTTTGGGTAAGGCCCGGGACCGACCCGGGAGTCTACCGGACCGGGTCTATTTTTTTTGGCTTTTCTACTTAACCCCCTACCCCCCCCCCCTCACCCCCCCCCCCCCCCCCCCACCTCAAACACCCATCCCATCTAGGGAAAACAAAAAAATGAAAACACAAAAAAAATTTAAAAAAGGCCTGAACTGGGCCCGGTCCGGCCCGTCCATTTCCAAAGGAAGGGTAGCCCGGAACCGCCCCGCCCTAACTCCCCGGGCCGGTCCTAGGCGTGGAACCGGTACCCGAATCCCGGGACGGGCCGGGCCCGCACAATAGCGGGCCGGTCCGGTTCATGGGCCGATCGGGCCGGTACCGGTCCAACACTACTTGATATAGCAGGAACTCGCAGATCAACAAACACCCTCACCCTCAATTCAGTCACCACCATGGATTAAACATAGAGTTTTTTGCGCTACTAATAACACAATAATTTGTTAATCACTGAGTGGACTATAGTTGGCGAAAAGGAAGAAGTGTCCCTCAAAACAAAATAGAGTTCCTTGACATTGTTTGAGAATAAAAACGAAATAAATAAAAGTGCTCAATTGCACTACAAGTCCTCAAGTATCTCGGCGAGCCTATCATTCAGAGCTCACCCAACCCCATTTTTTCCTTCATCAGTTTCCAACTTCAATGTACTTCTGTTGTCATCTCCTCTTTCATTCAACAGCACTTTTGCTCAACACTTGTATACCTTCCATCTACTACCCAGTATCTTCAGCTGCACCTGCAATAATAATAGAGCCAACACCCCTATCCACTGAAACTCTAATCAGTGTGTCGCTTCTATAGTAGAATAATTGTTGTTTGTCCCGGTTATACAAGGCACAGTCTAGATGGGGGTGTCGCTTCTTCTATTGTACTGGTTTTTAACTTTTTCACGCTGAGTACCAGACTTAACAGAATAGCCTGTTCTGTTGACAGAACAGACTGGCAGCGGATGGTCTTCTGGTAGGGGTTCTGTCCGGTAAGCCTCACAGAGATGCAAAGGCAGAAGGCCTTCCGTTAACTCACAAGACGAGTTCTGCTGAACAAAGAGACCAAGTCTTTAGAGTTAATCAGTTAAAAGAAAATGCAAGTATTAAAAGCATAAGTAAATGACACCAGGGATTTTTATAGTGGTTCAAGGAACAACGTGTTCCACTAAGCTTGTAAAAACGCAGATTACACAGCCTTAGTCCTAGCACTTAAGAAGCACTCCTCGTCTTCTTCAAGTGTAGATGTCTCCTAGGATGCACTTCCTTGCTTCCTTTAAGACTGGTCCTTTCACTGAGTTTCCTTGAAGTATACCCACTTCACTACTCCAGTTACTTGGATGCCCTTCTTGTGAAACAAGAATACTTGTTAAAAACAGAGGTTTCTTCAATTTGCTTCATCACAAAGAATGTGTATATCAAGTGCTTGAAGTGTTGAAGAACTGTAGGAACTTTGCTCTTGTTGGAATGGAGGATATGCGAGTAATATCTTTCCAACGTAGGCTTAGGTAGAATTCAGGAAAATCTTCCAAATGTGAGATCTTCTGGTGTACTTCGCAGAAAGGTAAGTACATAAGGTCTTGGGGACTTTTGTCCGGAGGAGCCAGCAGAGGGCCTTGAGGACTTCTGTCAAGAAAATCCAGCAGAGGGCCTTGGAGTTTTCTGTTCAGATAGGCTAACAGAGAACCAGGGGGTCTTCTGTCCAGTCGACTACACTAAAGTGCTTACACTTAAAAAAATCTAATACAAAATTCTAAAGGGGGTACTCTAATATTCTAACTAATCTAGCATCATCAAAATCTAAATACAATTATTCCTTACAATTTTTTATCCCCTGCTTATCTGCTTTCTCCAAAACTAGCCACTTATTAACCCCACCACCACTTCTTTGTTCATTGTTTGCTCTCATCTATGGCCCGAATTCCTTTGTTTGCTCTGAATCCGACTAGTCGAGAACCTTAGGACATAGTCTATCTACATGGCCAATGATACACAACCAAAGAAAAAATTGGGTAGCTTTTCATACCTAAAATTTACCTGGCCATAAGAAGTTCTCATCCACTTTTTGAACCTTCATATTTTCGTAAGAGATTTTCCTATATCTTGGCAAACTCGGATTCTCAAATAGACCCTCCAGCGCCCCTCAAACAAGTTTTCATCTAGCTTGAGAAGCTTTCCTAGATAATATCCAATAGATTTTCCCACCATTAAGGTCAAGTAACCCATCGACAAATTCTTCACTTGAATCGAGAATTCCAAAAAATATATAGACTTTCAAAGGCAAATATTGAGTTTCAAATAGGCCATATTCAATAACATGCCTCATAATAGTTTCATGATAAAATGAGAAAATATACATTTGTCGTTGATTTCTTTGTTCGAGACTCCTCTACTAGATCTTCAAATAGAGGCCGGTATGTGAAACCGCACCCGAACGTCCTTGAAATTCAAATTAAATTTCAAAGTTTGTGTATTGAATTCCCCTATTACCGAACAATTGTAAAACGAGTAATGTTTTACGCAATGCATGATTGATCATACTGCCGTTTGGGCTCGTATAATAGTAATGGACTTCCAAATACTTAATTGGGCCATCTTATTGGATATGGGGGCCCAACATTATTTAAACAAAGATATATAACCCTTCGATACAAAGTAAGAACGGTCGGGCAGCCCAAATGTTATTTTGGGCCTAACCTGCTAAAAATGGTAATTATTCAGGAATGGCGTCCTAGACCCACTCGAGAATGATCCTCACGGCTTGTAGCCCAAGAATATGGGTACAAAAATCATAAGTAAGTGATGAGATTATTAGAAAAGGATACAAACTCCTATGGTCTCACCTTAGGCATTATTGAGCTAAGTAATGGGAATAGGGTTTTCTTCTATAATTATACATCATATAAATTATTGGGATTTGCCTACACATATTAGAGACCAATAATATGATGTAGAGGGTTGACTTGGCCTAAATAAATTAGGATGAGTGCAAAAATACATCTCATGACAAAAGATTTTATGAATAGGACCCATCTTTCTATCTTTGGAAGTATTGGTGGATATTTTGGACCCCAAATTGATTGGGATCAATTGAGAATCACTCCACATGGATTGAGAACCTTCAAAACAAGGAGAATAAGTTAGAACACATAAATGGGGCGGACCTATTGAGTTGAGAGCTCAAACAATACAAAAAAGAAATAAAGATGCAGGTCCACCTCATATTTGATTGCAAACCAAATATCTCCCATGCTCTCTTGTAATCCACATGATTTGATAACATGATTTAGGGCTCTTATACACATCCCCCTCACCCCAATTCGAACTCCAGAAGATAAGAGAGAAGGGAGAGCCTCACAATCAAAAGAAAATAAGATAAGAGCAAACTGTCCACAGGGAAATTTCCAGTGCGTAAGGTTGATTGTTTGCTTCATATCTTGAGCTACACTCGTCCAAATAAGGCATGTGATGTGTCTACTGAAATCTCTCAAGACGAGGAATCCGTGAAGGTCTGTTTTTCAGCAAACGGAGTTGTGGAATGCCTCCAAATCGTCCAAACAAAACACAACCTCGCAGAATCGGATTTTCCTTTCCAAAGTGAGTTTAACCCCAAAACCTTTCTTTTCATTTTCCAAATGATATGAACGATTGGTGGAACTTTGATACACTATTTAAAGTGCATAATATGTCCTTATAAAGTTAATTTATTGATGAAAAGGTTAGATATTAACCTAGACCAAACCTTGAAAGGTTAGGAATCGGATTCGCCGGAAAACACCCATTCTAGGGGCTGTTTTTGTGTCATTGATAAAGGGTTGAGCTAACACCTTGAGAAGGCTGCTTAACACTCTTTTCTAAGCAAGGAATCAGTTCTTAATCCACTTTGACCGAAGCTTTGACCATTGGATCAAGAAGGAAAGGTTTAAAGCTCAATTAAGGTGAGGATCGACATCTAGTTGCTTACAACTTGTAGGTTAAGCATGAGATTACCTAAATGCATAAATCATGTTTTTCATGGATTATGAAGATGGATTATTGATGAAATATGGATAAGTTTGATAAGGAATGGAATTGGAAATGATTTGGAATCATATTGATGAAAATGGAGTTAAATGAACTATTATGTAAAATAGTCATTTTTACTCATGTGTGAATTGTGTAGATACATAAATGAATATTTATGTATTACATTGGATGCTTAAGTTGCTGTTACATATCTCTAGATATGTAGGGACTTACAAGTAGAATATTTGATGTATAAGAATAATCTTAATAGTATCGAATTACAAGTTAATGATTGTTTGTAATTGTCAAGGAATTGAATCTAAGAATTTGATTGTAAGTGATGTGCTTGAATGTGATTCAAGTGACTTAATTGATTTAGTATGAAGCTAAGATCATGGTATGGGCAGTCCGTAAGGATGTCCCAGAATAGATTATTGATATCTCAATTCTAGGCATAGGTTTGCTTAGGAATTGAGTCTATGTCATGTCACGGTGATGTACTTGAGTTGGACTCTAGAAGTGCATGGGTAGACAAGGGGTTGTGATAGACAACATGCATGGTGATGTACTTGAGTTGGACTCTAAAAATGCATGGGAAATTTGAGGCTATAGCCTATGTTGTGCATGGTGATGTACTTGAGTTGGACTCTAGAAATACACGGTGGAGTAATTAACTTGTGTCATATGATTTGCATGGTGATGTACTTGAATTGGATTCTAGAAATGCAAACATAAGTGTTAGGGTTGGACCCTATGAATTGTCGTGACTGGTAGTCACGGGGTATTGGGTTGATGTTTTGTAAACAAACCTTGGGCCTACGGGTCGACTACTTGACTTTATATATAAAGTAAGTATATTTTGAAAAGGGGTAACTTGGGGTTACGACCTAGATTATATTATCACCCTATTTGAGGGTCTTGCATTTGAAATACTTGTTGTGTATCTATAAGATGTCATCCACACCAATACTTTATAGCCGTATAGAGTACTGACCCTCTTTCGGGGGCGTCCCACCACCATTTCAGGTTGAGGCTAGAGCTTGCTACCTGTGCTCGTTGCTCGGGTGATCATCTTGGAGAGAAGACTTGGTTCGTGCTTCCTCCATTCTGTTTTTGAACATTTATAAACATGTTCATGGATATTTTTCACTATAGAGCCTACGTGCTCATGTTTGCCCCGTGTGGCATTTGTTTCCAAACTATGTTTTTCGCTGCGTATTGAATTGCTTATTATGTATGTTTATGGATGACCTATGTGTGAATGATATTCGAGACGCCTTGTATATATGGATGTGTTAGATTGCGGTTGAGTATTCGTATTGTACGGCGGGTTGTTGACGTGTCCGGATAGGTCCGGGGCGTGACACGGTATATTTCTGAACGATGTGAATTTCATTGCCTTTCCATGTGATTGTGCGGATGGATAAAATAACTATGAGATTTTATTTTGGTGAGACCCTTGACTCGATTTTCTATTTTTTTGTTGAGACCCTTGACTCGATTTTTGTATTTGGTTTGGCTTGATACGTATGTGTCTTGTTTTATTTCCCAAAACTGCCACTTCAAGTGGCGATTCTCTCAAGCAGGATTTATTTGAGCAGTATTTTGAGAAATATTTTTAATATAAATTACATATTTCTATGAAAAAAGAAAATGTGATACTTCATGTGTTCTTTAATAATTACCTCTTATTTTATTTTAACTTGTTTTTTAATAACAGTCGTTCTTTCCATTTTTAGAAAGTTTTTGAGATAAATATATTTATATACCCTCAATTTTATTACCCTCACTCCTTTTACTATTTACATACTACTTTCTTTTTTTCTACTTTTATCATTACTTCAATCTTTTTAATATACTCATTTTCTTACTTTTTTAATTTACACTTTATAGTACAAAAAATCAGATCATTCAAGTGAAGCAATTCATTTATTGAAGTGGACTTTTGTGAGACAGAAGTATAAGCTCGGGTACAAACGTGGGTACAAGGTACCCATACCAGGGTTGAATTTTTGAAGTCTAAAAGGACAATTAAAACTACTACTAGTCTCTTCCCTCGCGTCTGCCGTTCGTTGCAAGTCCCAGTCGGATTGCCTTCGTTGCCGAGTGGGGAGGTTGCTAAGCTCTCGCCGTTTTCCGATTCCTAAGTGCCAGGCATCCGTAAAGGAGGGATTTCTTTTACACACAGAAACGCGACGCAGCAGGGAAGCTACAACTTGAGGTGAGGTCAAGGTGTTCGATAAAATTACTCTTATGTTATGCGGTTCCAATCCAGCATGAAATTAACGCAAGAAAGATCACACCTTTGCTTCCATTTTTTTCTTTTGGAATACGTAAATGCGAGAAGAGATTCGCTCAATGGTTACGTTATCTTATTCATCTCAGTGCAGTTGAAAAAGGAGAAATTTGAAAAAGGAAGGAAGGGATAGTAGGAAAATGCTGCCTCAGAAGATGAAGAGAGTCATAACGGAAAACCCAAAGAAATTAGGAGACTTAATCGACCTGGTTAATCTCCCTTCAACCATGAGGGATTTTATGGGTCAGTCCCAGACCTCTCGCTTGGGGGCTTTCAAGCGCGTCTGGTCCTACATCAAGGAGAACAGTCTCCAGGTAAACTGTTTTCTTTTCAAGTTGCATTTGAGATCCTCTCTGCTGTCTGCTTTTGGGGCATGGATTGATTGATGATCCAAATTTCGTTTTTGTTATTTTTCAAAGGATCCAAATAACAAGAACTTGGTGAAGTGTGATGGAAAACTGGGGAGTATTCTGCTTGGTAAGTCGGAGGTGGATCTTGCTGAACTCCCTGCTCTCATCAAGTTGCATTTCCCCAAGCGCCACCCCAAATAATTAGATTGTGTAACAAGCCTGCCTCCCCACTGTCATAATCAAAATCGACAGTGTGGGTAGATCATTCTGAAGATTCTTTCTTCCCAGTTTAGTTTTAATACTTGAGTTAAACCTCTCTTTAATGTTCTAGACTTCTAGTAGGCCATAAGGCCCCATTGGCTTTATGGAATTCTGCAATGCATTGCTTTCACGCTCTGCTATCCCATTCAGCTTACCATTTTTTTTGTTTGGCAACCTCATCAAACTGCTGGCTCCGCGATAGATAGATAATGAACATGGCAATTAGCCAAACACACAAGATGGCATATTTGCAATTTGCAAATCAATATCAATATATCATCAGCACCTCAACATCTTATTAATCCCGACTGGTTGAGGTTTATGATATTGAAAAATGGATTGTGAAATAATTAATTAAATGTATAAAAACATGAAAGTGCCTTTAAAGGATATCATCAACGAATATTAAGGGAGTGTTTGCGATTATTTCTACTTTAAAAAGTGATTTTTTAAAGTGATTTTGGAGAAATTGCTTAATAGTGAAAGTTGGTAGTGTTTGAGAAAAAAGTGCTTCTGAAAAAAATAAAATTTGGTAGTGTTTATAAAATAAATGTTTCGTGTGTAATAGAAAAAGTGAAAAGTAATATAAAGCACTGTCCACTTGCTTCCAACTTTTAGCATTTAAGTGCTTAATTTAAGAAAAGAAGTTGTCACTTGAAAACACTCATTTCACCTTTTTTAAGCCAAAAGTTGAAAAAACGGTTTTTTTTTTAATTTTTTGCAAACACTTTCTAAGATTTAAGAATGGTCTCGAGCCACTTTCCGATATCGGATTTGATCATTCAAAGTTCAAACCATCAATTACTTGTACTATCACGAAAGAGTCAATTAGGTCATCTCGGAATTTTGAAAAATTGTTTCATTCAATCAATTAGCAGGTTACATGCCATGTCAGCACGTCATCCACTGACGTGTGGCAGTCCACGTGTGCGACATGTCATCAATAAATTGTTGATGTGTGCCACATTAGCACAGTCCCTGCTAACTGGGCTGCAGCATGTGTGTCACGTCAGCAGGTGACTTGCTGATGTGACGGGTCAACAAAACAACACCGAAGTAACAGCGGAACCTCGCTCGAACTCCACCAATCAACGGAAACAAACTTCCGTGGGTGATGATCGCTGAGAAGAAACCAGATGGCCGTCCTTCGTAGAAACGAAAACGGAAAAAAGGCTCTAAGGGCTGTGAAACCCTAGAGATAGGCCACCAAATAAATAATAATTTTAATTTTTTTTAAAAAATGTCTTTTTAAACCCTATGAAAGTAGTATTTAAATTTATTCCTCTCTAAAAAGATTAATTAACAAATAATGTAAATGTTCACCATTCACTAGTTCCAAAAAAATATTACCTCATCATACACCTAAAAGTAAGGTTGGACTGGGCAAGTTCAGCCCGACCCGAGACCCGGCCCAACCCGTTACTGTGCAGTACCGACTCGACCCGGTCGGCCGGGACCGGGACCAGGACGGAGGCCCGAACCAGAGCATTTTTCTGGCGGGTTACGGGCTTCCTAAATGATGGACCGGCCCGGCTCGGCCCGGGCCCAAATACTTTTTTTAATTTTTTTGGGCTGGTAGGTTGGTGGGCAAGTGGAGCCGGGTGGTTTGGGGGGTTTGGGGGGGGTCGGAATTAATTTGAAAACGCCTTTAAAAAAACTCATACCCGGCCCAATCCCGGTTCTAACCCGGGCCGGTACCAGGCCTGAGTAATTTTGACCTGGAGGCCGCCCTAGCCCAACCCGGGCCCGGTCCACCCCTACCTAGAAGATAATATATTTCCTCTATTTCTACAAAAATGGAGGAAATATAGATGAATAAATATATTTTACACATCGGAGATTTAATTTTGGATGGATAAATTTTATTTAATAGATAGATGAAGTTTTATTATGCAAATCCATTTCTAGGGGGATATAGTAGTCCTAAAATGAAAATAAAACAAGTAAATTTGTAAAAGAACAAATTATTAAACAAGAAATGCAATGCTAAACAGATATTTTATTAACTTTAGTAATTGAAACTTGAATATATTTGGAATTGAAATAGTCGGCATTTTCTTGATTGAAATCGAAACCCCCATAATTGTTTTTTCCTTTTCGTGCTATGAGACGTTTCCAGGAGAATTTACATTTGCAAAATGTGAAAGCACAACTGCCAAGAGCTCGCGTGAATTAGGGTAATGAAGAGGAACTATATTTACAGAAGTATGATGAACAATGTTTTTGGTCAGCTTTTGCTCTAATATAAGAGTGAAGGCAAACAATGATAGGGAAACAATGTTATGAACAAAGTGTGTTCACAAACAAGTTGTGAAGTGAGAAAACACCAAGTTGCAAGTTGTGTGTATGCCATTGTGTGGGGGGCTAACCATGACTTCTGGGACCCACCACTCGATGGAGTTCACGCGATCCAGCAGCAGTATTAGAGTACTGGCCCACCATATGTGTGTGGGGTACAGATGTTTGCCCTCCTTGAGAGAGCGCTTCCACGTTTTCAAGTAAGTACTGCCCTGGAAGGCGACCAACGACATTGCCCTGCTCGTTCCCATCCTTGTCGAGGAATGCGAAATGGGGGATGCCTTCCACTCCAAACTCATCAAGCTCTTGTTCCCACTTTGTGTTGTCCACATTCAGCATCACAAAATTCACTCTGTCCCTGTTAATTAAGAAGAGTGTTTGGTAGGGGGGAAAACATCTGCTGCCATTGTGACTGAATGGGCCATATCTTGCTCTTCTCCTTTTTTCATATTCAGCCAACGCTATGAAATATATAAATGAATTTTTTTGTGTTTGGTGAAGCATCTGAGTAATCTGACTCCATCATCATCATCATCACCCCAGTGACGCAAAGGCTCCCACACTTTTGGTGGGGTAAAGGGGGTCAGATGTACGCAGTCTTACCGCTGTACTAAAGCACAAAGAGATTGTTTCCAGATGACCCATAGTGAAAATCGCGTCCAAAATTGCATGGACCGATGGCTTCTTCGTAACAAAGAAGCGCAGACAGTTTAGTAAGCCATTTTGTTTTATTCCATCATATTTTCAAGCCAAAAAAATTTGAGTCTTTGGCTCTATTGCAAATGATGGAAAAATCTGAGTAATCTGACATTCTGACTAATAAGCCAAAAAATGCCTACCACAGGAGAGTCACTCTAAACATACAAAAACATAAAGTGATAGCATATAAACTAAAAAAATAAACATAAAGTTTAGTTGAGCTGAAACTCCCAATCTCTTTTGGTAAAAGGTTTAAAGAAAATTACCTGTACTGCTGCTCAACTTTATACACGTCCGCAGCTGATTCCTTACAAACTTCACACCAATCTGCATAGAACTCCACCACTGTAGGCTTTCCATTTGAAAGGGCCTTCATAATTAGCATATTAAAACCTATTAGGAGAACAATACTAATTGAACGAGAAGTTTCAATCAAATTCCATAAAGCTAGGAAGTTTAGCAGATATGGATGATCTAAACATATGATAATAGAATTGAAAAGAAGAACCCTTCAGGAAATCAAGCAGAATAAATGAACAACACTTTGCTCATTCATCCAACCTGCAAGAGAAAGGGTTTCTTAGGAACCCAGAATTTACTAGAGAAAAGGGACAAAAATAGCGCTATGGGGTTCTATGCAGATTGGTGTGAAGTCTCCATAAATTTTACTATAGATAATTGCTTGATCTCACATTATTTATTTATTTTACTATTCCCTCTCTCCCAAAATAAGGCTATGGGGTTGACCCAGCATGCTCAATATGAAGGTGAAAACTACGGGGAAATATTTATTTGAACACAGAAAGTTTATGAGCCACAATATTCTTTCCTCAAAAAGAAAGAAGAACTTCATTTAGGCTGGACAGAAAAGGATAGCAAGAACTTTATTTTGGGACGAAGTGAGTATTTAAAGACTGAGAGATCTAACGATGAAAAGAAAATGACAAAGTCAATCGTGCTTAATTTCTTTTTGTTTTTTCCAAGATAAAGCAAAAATAACAAAAAACTCTATGAACACTTTTTTCTTTCCCCTACCATTTCCAAGATCCAAAGATACCCTAAATGATGGGAACATTATAATGCTATCTGCACTACACATACATATCACATGACAAACCTTCTCTAAAGGCAAAGCAGCAGCAGAAAGATCTTTCAAAGAAACACCAAAATCAAGTCGTTGTGACAAAAAAAGCACCACTGCCCCAACAGCAGAGACCAGTGCTATTCTCCTATTAAAATTTGTGTCTGCGTAGTCAAGAAACCTTCCACGGTCATTGGAGGAAACTGAAACTTCACTGCTAGCAACACCATTGCTAGAGCCAGGATCTACCTGTACCTTTTACAGACCCAGCATCAGAATATAAATGAAACATATTTAAGGAGGCATTGTGTATCATTTCATTACAACGATTGTGATTTGTGAGCCAAGTATAAAAACAAAATATGTTTCAAGTGCCAGCCCAACGAGTCACCCTGGCCTAATAACAACCGACTAGAAGCGCAAGCCCAAATTTCATTTATACCATATGCCATCACTTCCACATGCAGAATGCAGTAAAGCCAGTAACTTACTAACATGGCATCTCTTAAGGTCCATTTGGTTAAAAAATGTTAGATTACATTAGGATTTGGAAATGGCAGATAACTTGGGGGTGCTAGAATGCAGGAAAACAGTTAGCTTGTGTTTGATGCAATTGCATAAATATCATTATTGATAAATACTCCCTCCGTCCCGGAATTATCTTCGTACTTTCCTTTTCGGTCTGTCCCAAATTTATCTCCTCTTTCCCTTTTTAGCAAAGAATCTGTGGTTCACAACCATTCTTACACATTCTTACACATTTCTCTTTCCTCTGCACAACTCTCCACCATACATTTCCCACTATCTTAATATGTGTGCCAATTGTACTTGTGAAGATAAATATGGGACGGAGGGAGTAACAATAATGATATTACCTGGCTGAGGTGTTTAAGTAAGATACTCACTGTGGGTACACAAGATAACCCTCCAACCAAGCAAATTTAAATATTAATAAACAAGCCTAAAAACAAAAGAAGATGCGACAGTACTCTTTGATCGTATATAAGCTATGAATTTGGGTGGCATCAAAGATAACTTGAATGAGGCATCCATAGAACAGCTGTGTATGTTACCCATTTCAGCGCCGCACCTGAACTTATTGTTTTTATTTTACCACTGGATTTAAATCAATAAGCCTTTTATCCTTGTAATATACTCCGTATTAATAAGATTCTGCAGTGCAAAATAAGAAGCTCAAACTTCACATCAAGTCATTTATGCTCAATGTACTGCTAAGATTCGAACTGTGGACAAATCACTACAAACCATCACACAGGCATTAATAAGCGAACTGAAATGGATAAAGCGAGAGAGCACGGGCAGTAGCTAGCAATTAAAGGAAAACAAATACTCACGCTATATGTTTTAATAATGAAAGAAAGAGAAGAAAGCTCAAACCTTTTCTACAGAATCAGCCGTTTGGCAACACTCGGCTGGATTGCGATTAGGATTCGTTTCGCAAAGTATCTGATGATGAAAGCGTCTACAGCTCTTGAGGTATTGAAAATAGGGGTGTTGAATGTGCAGAGATGGGCGGAGGTTGAAATGAAAAGGCCGGAATTTGTGGAAGCTGACGGGGCAAACAGCTACATGTGCCATGGCTGGCCGATAGCTATCTCTCACCAAAAGGGGCGGGACGAGGCGTCAAGCAGGCGTCAAGATATCAAAGCTTGAAGTTTTTTTCCTCGAATAGAATAATGGTAATTAAATAAATAATTTCCAAAATACGCCGGGTTTAAAATAATTCTCAAGATACTATTGTGTTAACCGTGTTATTTTGGGAATTATTTAAACTCACCAGTATTTTAGAAATTATTTATTTAATTAGCATTATCCTGGGAAAAAACTCCGAAGTCCAAAGAGGATTGTCAGGAAAAAAAATATAAAAAATAATTATTCTAAATAGGAATTTTTTTATTGTAAAAGTCATACAGAGTAGCTCTTTATTAAATTAACAAATCATTTGTCACATGGCTTACAATACACTATTTAAAGAATCACATCATAGCTAATACTACCTCCGCCCTGAAAAGGTTTGTCAGTTTGACTTTTCTTGGTCAATAATGACAAACTTTGGACAATGATTTTAATTATTATATTTGTATACAATTTATAAAGTTTATACTTTTATTAAAATATTTTGAATAAGGAACAATTTGATATAATTTTCATATTCAAAATAATTTCGTATTAAAAATTATCATTGGTCAAAGTTGATTGTCATTGACCAAGAAAAGTCAATTTGACAAACCTTTTCGGGACGGAGGGAGTATTAAGATCTGAGAGAGTCACATGTGTCCTTGCTAACGCATGAACAACATGATTCGCATATCGTTTACAAAAATAAATACTCCCTTCATCCCTTATAACTTTGTCATCTTTCCTTTTTTGTATGTCCCAAAAACTTTGTCACTTTTCCTTTTAATCAATGAATTTGTGGTTTAAGTTGATTCTCTCTCTTCTGCACAAACCTCAACCACACAATTTTTACTTTATTAATCCTTGTGCCGGTTAAACTTGGCAAAGTTATTAGGGACGGAGAGAGTAGTAGAATTCCTCTTTGTTTGTAGCAACTATCGAATATCATCAATAATCAGGTCAACGTAGGAGATCCCAACTTCTTTTTGAATCCCTCTAACTACCGCTCGGGCATCTGATTCAGTCTCTACCTCATCCCAACCCTCCTTAATCGCCCTTAAAATGGCCTTTCGAATACCCTGCGCCTATGACTCAGCCGGAGTCCACCCCGCATTGCACGACACGATTCACCATAGGCTTTGAGAACCCCCCCCCCCCCCCCCCCCCCCCGCTCATTTCTAGCTACTCAGCCCCAAGCACTAATCTCCTCTACCACATTTAGTGTCGCGTCCACATTAATCATAATCATTCCCGCCTTAGGCCGTTACCACTTCAAGTCAAAATCATTCCTCTCAGATGTTGTTCCTCTCTCCATGCGAACAGGACATTCGCACAGGAATTTATTACCGATGTCGTCCCATGCCACTCCTCTTCCCAAACCAGCGTGTTTCGGCATTACCAGATTCCCCACAGCACCATAACAAATATGTAGTGTGCCTCCTTGTCTGGTGGTGCGAGGTGAGTTTGCAGCCCAGTTTCCAAAGAGACTACGGAGCTGTCAACATCAAACTCGGCATCCCTCCACACTTATGTGACCTGTACACACGACAGAAGTGCATGCTCTAACGTTTCCAGCTCTTGTCCACACACTTTGCATCCGGTTTGCACAGTTACCCCCTCTTTGCTCCAGATTATCAAGGGATGGCAAAGAGTCATCTAAGACCATGTGGCATTCCTCCTCCTTCAACAAATTATTTTCAAATCTATATCTCTTTCTTCTGCTAGGATTAGTGGTTGGTAATACTTTCACCCAGAGAGACATATGATCACTAACCGGAGCCTCCATTGAAACTGTTTGAGCCGCCATAAACATGTTTCACCAATCATCGGTAATTAAGATCATGTATAAATTTCTTCCACCCAATTACCAGTTGCTTTTCCCCTCTCCCATGCCCACTGATACCTTGAAAACGGAAAGTCTCTCAATCCACTATTCAAGGCTGCTTCGAGAAAACCACGTAATCTCCATGGTGGGTGAGGGATTTTTCCTTTCTTTTCTGAATCATAGAGAATATCGTTGAAGTCGCCGATTACCATCCATGGTCGGCTGTGAGTTTCTTCCGAATCACGAATTGAAGGAGCGCTCAGGCTTCCGGTCTCCTTCTAGTTTCTTGAAATCCGTAAAATTTGTTAGTCACCAAGCTTGATCGTCAAACCTCAGCCCTACTGTGCAGTCAATAAAATTTGATGCTCCATCTACAACATCAAATTCAACCTCATCATTCCATCCCAATATTATGCCACCACTTAGTCTGTCACCGTCAACTCAATAGCTAGTCCGGAATCCCTGCGCTCGAATGATATCTTTCGCCCGTTGACATCGCAGTTTAGTCTCCATGAGAAAAATGATAAAGGGTATGTGTGTGTGAATCAGGTCTGCCAATCCTTGCATAATAGCCGGTTTCTCAACCCTCTGCCGTTCCAACTGAGAATACTCATCACGAAGGCACCGGAATCCACAGAAGACGAAGAAGCAATCGCCGACATCGATGATTGGAGTCATCGCCGGAAAAAACACTCTAGGGACAAACCCTAGAATCGACCGCCTAAATAGGATTTAAACATGACTATATTTTTTAAACAAAAGTCCATATTTAATTTTATATTCCCTATATAAGACTTGAACATTACATTTCTACTATTATAATTAATTCCACCCTTCATATAAATTAATGAGGAAATTGCTCAAACTTAGATTAAAACATAGCATTCTTTCAAAAATAGGATCATATGTTTAGTTTTCTCTAGATAAGACTAATCATTCATTTCTACCTATGGTTGGACTCGGGTCGGGCCACCCGGCCCGTGGACCGGCACGGCCCGCTACTGTGCGGGACCGGGACCGACCCGGTTCTCGGGTCCAGGTCCGGGTCGGGCCTAGGCCCAGAGGGTAGGGCGGGTCCGGGCTCGGGACTCAATTTTGGTGAACTGGCCCGACCGGGTCAGGCCCAGGCCCGGGCCAAATTGAATTTTTTTTATTTTTTTTTCATTTTTGGGGTTCCACCCGGGTTGGGCTTGATGGGTAGGATGGGTTTGGGGGTTTGGGAGGGTGGGGGTGAGAAGGGGGGTAGGAAAGCAAAAAAAAAAATCCAAACCGGAGGCCCGGACCCGGACCGGACCCGGTGGCTACCCGGGCCGGTCCTGGGTCCACTATTCTTGAACCGCCGGCCCGGACCCGAGTCCATCCCTATTTCTACCCGGTCGGGTCATCCAAAACAAGGCCCGGTCGGGCCCAAGCACGGTTCGGGCCAAATTGATTTTTTTTTTCATTTATTTGGGCTCGGTTTGGATTGGGCTTGATGTTTAGGAGGGGTTTGGGGGGTTTGAGGGTGGGGGTGAGGGGGGTCAGGGATAGGTAGGTAAGCAAAAAAAAAAACCAAGCCCGAGGCCCGGGCGCCCGACCCTGGACCGGACCCGTTGGCTACTCGGGCCGGTCCCGGGTCCACCTATTCAGACCCGCCAGTCCGCCCGGGCCTAGGCCCAACCCAGACTCGGCCGGAATCCACCCCTAACCTGGGGAGGGGACTTAGGGGGCCTGGAGTAATCAGGACTGAAACTCACTCAATTAAGTTTCAAACTCTTATGTGCCTAACTGGTTTCAAACTCGAGACCTTCCATTAGGCACGATAACCTCACAACCAACTGGGCTGGAATGCTTGGTTGTCCAAGTGCCGATTAAATTTGGCAACATTTTACGAATGGAGGGAGTTGTATATTCAATCAATATACAATTTTAAAATTATAAAGCAAGTGACAAATGGCATATTTTTTATTTTATTCAATAAACAAATGCATTGTTCTCATAAGAGTTTAGGATCAGCGAAACATGTAATATAAGAGCTTTTTAAATGTTAATTCTGGCGGTATGCTATAACTGAAGATTTAAAGAATCCTCTTCCTTCACCTGCCAAACTTGACAACCTTATAGAACACTTTTTGAACCTGCACTTCTTTAGTACACTACAATTGAAGACTTAAAGAATCCTCTTCATTCACCTGCCAAACTTAACAAATTACATACACAGCTAATCTAAGATTTTGCTGGCCTGAACCATGTATGTGTACACGTTGAGGCCAACTATATATACAATACGATGTGTGGTTCTGATTTAAAGAAGAGCAATGACCGGGGTTGAACTTATTGATGGGAGCACAGGGACCAAATTACTGCATACAGTAATCCAAGAATCAGTAAAGAAGATTTCAGCATCTTGAAGCTCATAACCATGGAAAGAAGGCAGATGATATCCAAGCTCTAGGAGCCGTAGATTCACAAGTGGTACCACCAGAGTCCTCAGTAGGCTCGATATCAACATCTATAAAGGACACATTCATCCGATTTAGATGATCACATAAAGAAGTAAGGGTGTTTTCTTTTAGACTGTTTTCCGTCCCAGACCAGACCAGGTCAGACTTAAACAGATCAGACCAGACTTGGACAGTTATAAAATACACAAAGACAAGGCATTTACCAAACCAGTTCAGATCAGACCAAACCAACAAATTACAGTCCAAAAGAAAACATCCTAAAACACCGCTCGTTTGCTCACTAAGAAAATAGAATGGCCATCCAAACTATGTCCGGGTCAGTGACATTAAATTTAGAATGTCAATCAATTTCAGAAAGAAAATAATTTCACTTTTGATCCATGAGAACTTTAGGTCAACCACATTCATTTTTTATTTATATTTTGTGTATGGCTAGACTTTTTGGCGAATTTGGTCCTTATGGCAAAAATCAACCTGGACTTGTACGGATAAGTAATTGGGAAGAATCAAAAGTGGCTAAAAAACCATAGTCAAGGACCAAAAGTTAAAAAGACCAAATACTCATAGGGCCACAATTGAAAATCTTTCTTTAAAATTGTTAACACTTAAATTCATGCAGAAAAACATAATGAAAAAGTTCTATGATGGATTCCTTCCTGTGCCAACCTCCTTACTAAGGAATAACATAACAAATTCCAATACTCCTTTCATCATCATAGGTTTTTTCCATTTAGAAAATACGGTAAAAGGACCAATTCAAATTCCCTGTGCTGAA